CTGTTATTCCTTACATACAGGGTGTTACTGAACCCATCAAGAGAATTTTGAATAGCCACAACGTTAAAGTTGCTCAAAAACTTTTTCAGACTTTGGGGCATATTTTCGCCAAACCTAAGGATCCTGTCACGAAAGAACAACGAACCGACGCCATTTATTCTATTCCTTGCAATGACTGTGACAACGAATACATCGGAGAGACCAAACGCCAGTTTGGTACACGGTTAAAAGAGCACCAAAAAGCGGTTTTTCTTTGCAAAAAGGAAAATTCAGCTTTATCGGAGCATACTTGCCTAACCAACCATACAATTGGGTGGGATAATTCTAAAATTATCACCACTAATCGGGGTTACCACCAGCGCCTTTGTTTGGAGGCTTGGCACATTAACTCCGCCCACGCTCCTTTAAATCGTGACGATGGTGGTCTGCTTCCTGACGCCTATTTACACCTCGTCAGAAAAATGGCCGCTAATTAGCGATCATATAAAAGGACCTCTTGTTGCAGCGTTTAGATCACCCCTGATGAAGGCACTAGACAGGAGTGTCGAAACGTTGGGTCTATGAATTGTAACTTCTTCGGTTACATTCATTAAATCTGCAAACCAGTGTAGCATCAAACTATGTCTTATTGTCCACCTGGTTGCCGTGTGAACTTTAATATATTTTATCTGTCCTTGTCTTTCAGATTTGGCACGAGCTGTTCAACTTTGGTGATAATCAACCTCTCAGGAGCAAGTGTATGATCATCATACAAATCATGAATCTCCCACGGGTACTCAAGATCAACCTCGAGGATACAAGATGTTGATTTCCTTTTCTCGAAGATAGTCATCCATTTGAATTCTCCAACAAGAGGATCTCTTCACATTGCTCAACTTTAGAGATTGTTTGCATCAAGATAAGTGATGAACTCTGATGGCTTGCTTGGATCGTGATCTTCAATCATTTAATCGCTGTTAGGTTTTGAGTGTCGATTTGCCATCATTGAGACACCTCTACGAGTTCCTGATTTAGACCTTGAAAATTTTCTCAGTTTCCCTCAGTTTATCAAGACTCAAGTTTGAAAAGGTCATGACTTTAACTACTTTGCCTTCTTTGTTGATGAATGTGTCAACAATGTCTACTCAAGCTGATGTTATTTTTCCTCAACGTTTGGGATGCATTTCATATATTTCCTTCAGTTTTGTCGAGATTTTTGATGAAAAGATAAGAATCATATCCACACAAGTTATGAAAGATCACTGGACGAATTTTGGTTTCTTGAAATTGAGGTCGCATTTGTTGTGAGCTACTCCACGATACTTTTCTGTGAAATGACAGTGGTCTCTCACTTTGTCATCATCACCATCTTTGAATTTCTCTTTGCAAATACAACAGATCTTTGAATTTTTGAAATGTTTCATGTCTGCATCTGTGAAGACCACATCCTTCAGAAAATCGAACTCTTCCCGAATCAATCTTCATCTTTACTCTTTGTTCTTAGGATAAATGGCTCATGTTTGAACAATTTTTCATCTAAGCAAACGACGTGAAAACAAAAACCACATGGTTTGTGCTGTTGATTTTAATTAGTGAAGCTCTCATCACAACTCGGCTCAGTGAATACTTAAAGTCAGTGCAAATCACAAATGGAGCTTTGATGAAACGGTTGTGATTTGTCAACTTCATGCGCCGCTTTCTTCTACCTTCTTTTTCCCTTGGCATCGTGACCTTAGCTGCCTTATTGTCTGAGCGGTACAAACCATGAATGGCCAAATTTTGTTCGTTCCGAAAGTGACTCGAGTATCTTGGACAGAAGAACCATGCTATATCATGCTTCCTGACCTGTTTCAAGAGTAACCTACTCATTAGTTTTATCCAGAAGTGATGCTGATTACAATGCTGTCATCCATAAACTTGTTTATCGCAGTCAGCTTCGTAATGAATTTGATTCCATGCCATCTCAGCCGATCCTCAGATTGCTCTCTAAGCTCTTTGATCCTCTCAGCTTTTTATCAACAAGTTTAAAGGCTCTTGAAATGCATCAATTGAAGCACACATCATCATCTTCGTTTTTCATGTTTATGATCGCCTTTTTTGCTGAAGAGATTTCGAGAGTTTGATGTATGATGAACCTCCCAGTGGATCAAACTGTGAAATGAAGGTCGAGTAAGTGACCTTCATAAATCTCTAACTGCTTCCATTTTTGTTGAAGTTTTGAAATCTCCCTTGAAGTGTCTCCTTGTAGATGTAGAAGACTCCGTCCTCGTCATGACACACTTGTACTAACAATCCAGATCATTGTCTGTTGTGCCTGCAAACGGACTCCACCAATTTCAAGGAAGCTAAATGCCGCAACCAACCACCCTCAGCACCTTATGTTTTCTGGAAAGATCTGCGTGCACAAAATCACTTGACTAAATCCTTTCAAGGAAGAACCGTGGATGTCGATCATGTCAGTGTGTGCACTCAGCGTCGTAAATGTCGAATGTGTAAGAAGTTATTGGTGGGCCTGAAAGAACAAAAGAACACCATTGCGGTTATGCAAAGTGTCCCTCGTGTAAAGAGTCAGTTCTAATCTCTGGACGATTTTTTTCTGAAGCCCCGCTGGTTGTGGCTGTAAGTGGTTGTTTACAGAATTACACACAACAGCCTCAAGTATCTTCCCAGGAATGCTAAGTTGAGAAATGGATCTGTAGTCGTTCACATCTCACGATTTGCCTTTCTTGAACACAGGGGTAGCACGAGGTACTTTCCAGTTGTCTGGGAATGAAGCACTAGTCAAGCTGTTCTCACAAAGTGGAAGTAAGCTGTAGGTAACTAATTCAGAGGATACAAAGAAAAGGTCCCTGGATGAAACCAAATCTGGAACCGTAGCCCTCTTAGGGTTTGATTCCTTCTGGATATTTCTCGTGACAAGTTCCCAATTTATATCTGTGCAATCTTTAGTGAGAGTAATCCTTGTTACAAAGATAAATAGAAATAGTAGAGATGGTGAGTTTTGAGCTCGGTGAAGAATTATGACAGATATGTTTTTGTCTTGTCACGAACGTTGGACAAAGAAAATATTAATATAGAAAATATATAGCTGTAGGGTTTTGCTCTCAATCGAACAAACTCTTCAATGATCTTTCTACCAGCTTCGTCCTTCATCATTCCCACGACCGCCATATTTTTCCCAGTTGGGATCCCTGACACGTGATCCTTGAGGCAATTGCTTGTGTCGAACCCATCTTCAACTCATATTCAACTACTTCGGTTTCAGTCTTATTCATCAGGCTGTCAGTTTCTGGGAAGAGAAGCTTTGCTTTTTGGCCATATTTCTTCTCGATGTAGTTATAGTAGAAGTCATACATCATATTAAGGATGTTCATTCCGCAATATACTGGCTTATCGAACACCAGCGTAGTTGGCTCCATGTGGAACGCAACGACGTTCTGATCGAATATCGTGCGGTGCTTGAAGTTCGGTTTTGCTGCAAGTTTCAATGCTTTCTTTCTACCATTGACTAATCTCAAATTTACACGATTCCTGATGTTTTTCATGGTTTTTTCTGAAGACGGAGTTGTTCATCATCTTGACGAAATCTTTCTTGAAGTTATTCTTCTCTCTCGCTCGCAGCTTCGTGTTGAGCTCAATGCAGCTCTTAAGTGAAGGCTCCTCTTCAAAATTTTGTATGAATCTTTTCGATCCTCAAACCAATTTCGAGATATTGTTTAATTAAAGAAATGTAAAATGGTTTCCGTATTTACATAGCCTGATGTAAACACGTGGGAGGTTGGGAGAACACGAGATAAGAGTAGGAAACCACGGCGCGAAGCGGAGTGGTTTCCAGCTGTATCATACAGATTTAGAATCAGTTTTTCTACCCTGTTGATAATCAGGTCTCTTGTGATTAATTCTTTCCTATTTAGAGGCCATTGTCACTCACTGACACGGTTACTTCATGTGCAGAGTGGTAGTGCTCTTTTGGAACCATACTTCACAGCACATATGGCCAACTTTCATTAGTATTTTGATCCAGACACTTCTCCTAAAAAAAAAGCGTGTGAGCGTTATTTTTTTCATGGAGAGTTTCCAGAGTTTAACTTAATCTAGCGTCTTGATATTAGTTCCTCAGAACTTTTAACCATTGTTGTTCCTCTAAAATTGTGGTGATTTCCTTGGCGCAGGGTTCGTTTAACTGTTCGGTGTGACAACGAAGACGTAGTCACTGCGCTGAACTCGGGCTGATGTTGGAATGCCTTTGTTAATTGTTGTGTGTGCGAAGTCTGTTTCTTAGCGGCAACACACGAGCTTGAGACTCGCTCAGTTCACGTTCCTGGATTCTTGAACAATGGAGCTGACGTGCTTTGACGCTGGAATGTCAGGTCGCGTACAGGAGAAAAATTGCTATAATGCATTCAACGTGATGCACTTCTTCCAGTTTCTGTGCCAGTTACCTTCTTCCAGTTAGACAGTCCTTTCTAATAGATCGTTTTGTTTGTTTTTATTGTGGATTTCCTAGCATTGTCTGCATTGAGAAAGAATTTAAAAGACGTACTTCATTCTCTCTAAAGCGTTAATACATTTAGTTACTTAAGAACCCAATTTAAAACCTTTTTTTGGTACGTATTTCCGATTTACATCAACGCCAGCTACGTTGGATACTATTTACCTTTATGGTATATCATTGAGTGTTATTTACTGTTGGTTTCCATTCTTACTAAACTTTTCTCTGTGCCAGAAAGCGGATTGTGTTTTATTTCTTAGAGGGGTTAAAGGAAAACGTTAGCAGTATCTGGGAACTGATACTTCTTTGAAAAAAACGACAAGCTCAAGGCGACCTTGAGTTCAAACGTTGTGATCGAATTGCCAGATTCCGTCATGCACTTCAGAGTCATCAATGCAATATTGTAACTCTTCTTTGGTGTGTACGTGGGAAGAACGGCCACTGGATTCCTTTTTCCTCGACGCATTGATCTTTGGGAAAATGCCAGACTTTATATAATTTCAAAATATGATATCCTTTTTACACTGCTTTACTGATTTCGGGTGTACACGAAGTAGCTCTCTCCATGCCCTCTCCGTACCAGGGCACGTAAACACACACACGTGCAACATAACAGAAATGTCAACTTTCCACTTCTCCGATATGGCAATGCTAGATTGAATACTTTGTACGGTGATAGAATGTTCACTTTGGCCATTCCGTAATAATGAGAAATTTCGGCTATCTCGGAATTGGTAAAAATGTGCAGATGTCCCACGGGATACTTGTCGCATTTGTTTACCAACGGATACTCAGACGTCTCGTCTATGTAGTGCACTTTCTATTCCCTGTGTCTCGTCGGTCACGTGGCTACCGTTTTTCTGCCGTAAAAGACAGGACGCGGATCCAAGAGCTCTACAATTTCTAACTCTCTGAGAAACTCTACGATACGACCATCGTGCTGTGATTGGCGATTCCAATTGCATACGTACATTTCCACTACCGTATATTCCATCGAAAATGATATAAAACGAAAAGAGTCCTTCATTCTCACGCATTCTTGATTTTATACCGGACGATGCTGCCTATAAATTTCTTATAAGACAAACATTTTATCGTAGCCTTCTAGGTTGTGAAATAGCACAATCACTCCTTGTTCGAATCTGTTTTCGTTGACGGCCAATTTGTCCAGAAAACTCTTCCAAATACTTTTCATCCGTTTCGCAACATCGTGAGAGGGCGATGTTCTCCATCGGATTCTTGTGTGGTTTCATAATCCGCATAGATGAATAAAGGATAATATTTAAATGTCAAATTGTCCAAGTTCAAATCTCTTGCAGCCATCCCTTCACTCCCTAATCGTTCTGATCGAGTCTTCCTTTTTTCTTTTGTTCACGTAGGACGTATTTCTTCCTCTACTGGTTGCATAAAAGATTTACGCGTCCCATAATCCACATCTTGCAAACATAACGAACACTAAGTGACGCCGCATACGTCTTTGAAGCGTTTGGATCTTCAGTTTCCTCTGCGCTCTGTCTTTTTCTTGTGATATTCAGCACTCAGTACATTATTCAAAATCTGATATATGGAATTCCCTTTAGGATTAGATGGCTTCTTTTCATCCTGGTAACAATTTTCTCCGAAAAATACACGATGGCAACGTTGGCATTCCTCGACAAGAATGATGACACAGATCATTCTTGTCAAAATCTTTCTCGCATTCAAAACAAAAATACCATTTGTTTGAAAATCCTCCATACGACGTACATCCATGATAATGAGTATCGACTTGAATACGTTTTATCATCGGAGAAGACGTTGAGAAAGCAGTTAAACTGCACAAATTGTACTAACCACCTGAATCCGCTTGATTGCTTAGAACTGTCCAACTAGCTTAAACTGGTAATGATGATAAAAAGCGCAAACTAGCGGAATCGTTTTAACTGGTTTAAATGGTCAACGTAACGATAACAGTGAAACTACTCAAAATGTATAAACAAGCTGAATTCACTCGATTGGCAAAAACGTTTTAATGGCTCACGTGGACAAAGTGCACAAACTATATAAATATGACTAGCCGGTTTAAATAATCAATGTAGCAAAAAAAAAGTTAATGTTCAAAAACTACAAAGTTTACTCAGAGAAGGACAGACAAGAAAGGATGGAAGAAAAGGACAGACAGGAAAGGTGAAATTTGATATCACCGAGTATCTTAAGTTGGTATTTCCATTTCAGGAAGCAGACACTGATAAGTGTTTCTTGCACCTTGAGAAAGTAGCTGGCAATCTTAAGTGGCCCACGGATTCCTGGGTAATTCAATTACAGAGTGTACTAGTCGGTAAAGCAAGAAAATATTTAAACACAGTTAAGTGTAGAGCAAGCTGCAAATTATGACACTGCTAAGGATATTATTTTAAGGGGTTCTGAAATAGTTGCCGAGGTTCAGAGACCGTGCGAAAGTCAATAGTCAGACTTATGTAGAATTTGCTAGAAGTAAGGAACAGTTATTTGATCGTTGGTGCCATTCGCAGAGGGTAGATGAGAGTCACGATAGGTTAATGACAGCTAGTTTTAATAGAGGAGTCTAAGAGGTGCATTCACAGTGATGTCCGAACGTTGGTCGATGAGCAAAAAGCACAAACTTTAGAGAAAGGTGCACGACTAGCTTTGGCTGAGGCACAAAGTGAACTTCATGGAAAAACCCCATCAGCTTCACACTTCACCCGCTAGAGTTCTGCCTCCTTCGGTACCACGATGGTTTGCAAAACCAGAGAAGTCGGCAGAATGACGGAGGACATTCAAAGCAGAATCCTGCTAACAATTATGGGAATCGTTTCAGCTCCTCATGGTCAAGACAGAACAAGCTTGATCGAGGTAAGCCCATCAAGCCGATTTGTAGTTGCCCGGAAAAGTGGAGAGTGGCGCCTAAGCGTGATGGTTTTCTCGCTAAGACATTGACTTTAACTACTGTTGGTGAAGATACACCCCCTCCCCAAGTTCTAAGAGAAAAGACTCGAGCAAGTGCTGTGAGTGGCCCCTGCAAATCTGTCATGGATCTTTTTCAGCCCTTCATCCACCATGGTTCGGTGTCATTGTCAACTGATACGTCCAACTCCATACCAATCAAGATCTTGACAGGCACTGGAGCCTCACAGTCTCTATTGCTGAGTGACACTTTGGTGTTTTCTGAGAAGTCGTCCACTTGTGCGAGTGTTCTTATAAGAGGAATCAGTACCAAGTACACCCCGGTGCCACCGTATACACAGTATACACCAGTAGTCGTCAATGCTATTGTCACCGACAAGCGTGGTTAAGAAAAGTCTCCAGAGCCAGTAGAGAGGAGAATTCTCCGTCTGTACCCATAATGTGTCGTGACGCGAGCCATAAGTAAGAAGTTAGAAACTAGAGACAAAAGAGGTAACATTAGCTGACACCGCCATCAGCCAGGTCCTTACGGGTGAGCAACCGAATCCCTCTTTCTCTCAGCCAGTATAAGTACTTTCTGAGAAAAGTTCAATGGAACAGGTCGAAAAGATGTCAACTTCTCAACTCATTGCAGAACAACACGAGGACCCGGAAGTCTCAACTATATTTTCAAGAAGTGTTAGTGAAAGCGAAGTATCTCAAAACCCCACCTGTTACTTTACGAAGAATGGAGTGCTAATGAAAACGTGTAGACCACACCATGTTCCCACAGAAGAGGAGTGGGCTGTCCAGTACCAGATGATTGTCCCAAAGACCTACAGACCGGACGTTTTAAGCACAGCGGATGAGACCCCTTGTCTGGCCACCTGGGTGTCAACAAAACCTGCCAGAGGCTCTTAGACCATTTGTACTGGCTCAATCTAACAAAAGTTGTGGCGCAATACTGCAAGTCGTTTCACACTTGTTAGATGGCTTTGAAACCGAATCAGATCGTTCCAAAAGTACCGTTACAGCCACTACCAGCCCTTCAGGAGCCATCCAGCAGAAGAATCATTGTTGATTGTTGAGAGCCACTACCTAAGAAGAGGTCTGGACACCAGTATTTGATGACCATCATGTGTGCATCCAGTAGATTTCCTGAAGCCGTGCCCTTGAGAAATATCAGTGCAAAGGTCATAGTCAGAGCTTTAACCAAGCTCTTTACACCGGTAGGTCTCCCAAGTTCTATCCAGTCTGACTAAGGTTCCAATGTTGTGTGGCATATTTCAACACGTCCTGCACGAGCTTGGAGTCACACAGTATATGTCAACCGCATGTCACCCTCAAAGTCAAAGAGCTCTCGAAAGATGGCACCAAACACTGAAGAAGATCATGAGGATCTACTGTTTCGAAACAGAGGAAGATGGGGACGAGGGTAGCCATCTACGACTGTCTCCTGCAGCTGAGTCAGTACAGGAGTCTCTAGGATTCAGTCCATTCGACCTTGTATAAACTGCTTAAAAAGAAGTTATTATCTAGCAGCACTGAGTCTACGAATCTCTTGCAGTATGATTCAGATTTTTGCAGTAAGTGTTTTAGAGCTTGTGAGTTAACTAAAGCTAATCTTAGTCCTTTCGAGATGCCTTTGAAGGAGAATTATGATGTAGATGCTGTAGAACGTGACTTCAAGTCAGGAGGAAAGGCTCTTGCATTGTTGCCAGTGCCTAGAAACAAACGTAATTGTAGACGTTTGGTCCTTATGAGGGCACTCAGAACAACGTTTTGGCCTGTTTTAGTTAAGTTACCCTGTTTTCAGTATTATCTTTCTGAGAGCAACTATTTTCTCGGTTTTGTAGGTAAACTACACTTTTGACGCTTTATCTTACCGGAAACATGTTTTGGTTTAGTTGCAGCTAAATTGGAAGCTTCCAACTTTATATCAGAAAAAACAGCCATTTAATGTTTCGTTGGAAAACATGCTGCTTTGAGTTTTATAGCACCGAAAATATCTTTTGGTTAGTTGGCAACGAAATTGAGCTTCTTTGAGCTTTATATCGCAAAAACCAGCGTTTTTGCTTTTTCTTGGCTACAACACGTTACATTCAGCTTTATAGCACAAAAACAAATGTTTTGGTCTGTTTGCCGTAAAGTTGTGTGTTTTGTGTGTTTTGCACTGGTATTGCACCGGAAAAAGGTTTTCTTTCAGTTTGCAGCGAGTCCGCCGAATTTATCCTTGATTTTACTCAAAACAACGTTTTTACTCGTGTTTGGCTAAGTTACGCTGTTCCAGAATCCTCCTTCTGAGAACAACCTTTTCCTCTTCTTTCGTGAGCAGACTACACATTTGACGCTCTATATTACCGGAAAAAGGTTTCGGTTTGTTGCCAACTAAACTAGGCTGCTTTGAGACTTATGTCACAGAAAACAGCGTTTTTTCCTTGCTGTGTTTAAAATACGTTGCGTTTAGCCTTATTGCAGGAAAAACATGTTTTGGTTTGTTTGCCGTAACAGAGGGCTGTTCCCAGCGTTATTGCAACGGAAAAAGGTTTTCTCCCAGTTTGCAGCGAGTCACGCTGATTTTTAATTGATTTTACTCAACGAACCGTTTTCGTCTCTTTCCGGCTAGGTTACGCTGTTTTGAACAATATGTTTCTGAGAACAGGCTTTTCCTTTTTTTCCTACCAAAACTGCGCTTTTGACCTTTTATCTTACCAAAACCATCTTTTGGTTAGGTTGCAACTAAATTAGAAGCTTCGAGCTTTATGTCACAAAAAGCAGCGATCTAGTTTTTTTGCGAGAAAACACGCTGTTTTAAGTTTCATTCAGACGGAAAATATGTTTTGGTTAGTTGACAAAGAAATTGGGCTTCTTTGAGCTTTACATCACAAAAAACAGCGTCTTTGCATTTTCGTTGCTAAAAGACGTTCCACTCAACGTTATAGCACAAAAAATATGTTTCGGTTTGTTTGGCGTCAAACTGGGCTCTTTCCAGCCAGCGAGTGAACTTGATTTTTATTTGATTGCCTTCAAAAGAACGTTTTAGCCTGTTTTTGGCTAAGTTACCCTTGTGTTCAGTACTATCTTTCTTAGAACAACCTTTGCCACATTTCCCTACATGAAATACGTTTTTTACTTGCTAACTTATCAAAAATAT